TCCCGTTCTCCTGCACAAAGACAGGTATACAAACTGTCTCAACCTGGAGTTGCATGGGAGAAAGTGTACACCACAGTTTGACCATGCTGATTGCTGGAAGTAGACTTGCAGTATGGATAAGCATAGCAAAGCTGTCTTTCATCCAGCTAACTCTGATATTTTGAAAAATAAAGTGATACTGTGTAAGCTTTAGTGAAGCCAGAATGGACTGGATATTGGTAGGGAACTGTCAGTTTCCATTCTCTCTTTTAAAAAATAGATTAAGACTTTATTTCTGAAGTGTCCAGTCAGCTGCAACAGTATTGTTTTAGAAACAATTTGTTATGAGTTTTTCATACTTTTATTGACAGGTTTCCACTTCAATGCTATATATCTTCCCATAAGCACTGAAATTTGTAACAGCGTGAATCGTGAAGGAGAAATAAATTTATACTGTAGTCTTTCTGTAACTTTGTAATCTGGCAGTTATGGTTTTTTTTTCCTGCGAGTGAGTCATAATGTGCATAGATGGGCATTCTCTGCATATAAAAAAGATTAACAAAAGTGTCTCAGACCATTAGAAGAGAATCAAGAAGCTTCGCTAAAGGAGAAATTTTACCATTTTTCTGAGCTGAAGTTCATATGTTATTTGAAGTGCTTACAGTTAAATCCTATAGCTTTATTAACTGACTAATTTTTTTTGAAAAATCAGCTGTAGCTTTTTGCACTTGTTCTTTGTAAGGGCATAATTGCAAACCTATTAGATCATCTGCAGCTCTGGCCAGTACATTATTGTTCCTTACAGTAGATTCTTGAGAGTTTTCCAGGCTAGCTTTTAGCCAGGAACGATGTGAGACCCTTTAGATACACTGTGCAGGAAAACAGATTCCTCTGTCTTTTTCTTTCTGTTTTACTTATTTATTTGCTAATATGACTTGCACGTTTTCTGTGCTGTCAGTGATTTTCCTTGTTTGAGATAACTTTGCTCATATGAATCTTTTTAGCTGTATCCCCTGGGAGACTCTGAAAAGCAAGCTCTTAATTCAGACAGCACAATAGGCTTACAGGTAGTTGTGTAGTCAGTGTTGTTTAATCAAATGTCTTTTGCATGAAAAGCTTTTCCTGGAAAGTCAGTCTTTTCTGTTCCCAAACACATTTTTATGTTCTTCTCTAAAGTTATTCCAGTTTGCCTATCTGGTATTCATTTTCTTGGAACAGCATAACTGGTCAACAAAATGTTTCTTCCTCTGAGAAAGGTTTTAGGCATGTATTTATATTGCTATATGTAACTGATTTTTAAAGTAAAACATCGAAGAAAATTTAGTTTATTGTTTGCGGGCTGGCTAGATTGTTGTAATACTTAAAGTTAGTTTTAGTCCAGAACAATTCAAACCAATTCTCATGAATATCTCCAATATTACCAGAAAGTAATTGTTTACCTGGTGTTACCCAGTAAAATTGTTTGCTGTAATATTTGGGGAAGTGAGCATAAACATGACTCATTTTCAATCATTCTTTAATTGTTTTTTAAATAGTTTTGTTTATAGGTTCTTTGTTTTTTCCCTTTAATTGCCACCTCTGTTTATTTTCCATACTCTGATACACACAGAAAAGATCAATTGAAGTAACTGGAGAAAAGCACAAAAGTGAGAAGCATAATAAGTAATGGAAATAATTTTTTTTTCAATCAAAAATGTCATTTGGGACCTGAAAGGATTAAATTGTCTTGTCAGGAGAAATAGCACTGGTAAATAAGCACAAGGGTAAAAATAGTATTTGAATCTCAACTAGAACTCATTTTAATGGACATTATTCATCAGAAAGAAGCAGCTGGAGTGGCTGCTGGCCCTGAGAATGCTCAGCAGCCTGACTGTGTCGTCACAAGGCCATTTTTTATTCCAACGGATACTTTATATGTACTGGGGAAAAACTCAAATTAAGGGGAAAAATAAATGAACAGAGTCTATGCAGTGATCACTTGTGGTTAATAGAGGTGATAAGTTATCGGTCTGCTGAAAGAAATGAAAA